CAACCTCGTATTTATTATTATTTTCATTACTTTTTTGTTGGGCAACAAATTCATAGTATATCATAAATGTTGTTAAATTTCGTGAGATTTCGGTTCTCAAAAAACTCTCTATATGCACCTTAATTTATTTTTCATTGGGTGTCTTCTCGTGCGTGCCTCACCATAACACATGAGAGATCTTATTTAGGGCCTATGGCTATTCAAGGCTCTAAGTCTTGTATATATATGTTGAAATCATATGCAACCACATCGGTGCTTTTACTTTGGATTTGAACAAATTTGAAATCCTAGATATTCTTGTAATGATTAATTATTTCCATAATTTTTTTATCTTTTATTTTCACAGGGGCCCAACGAGATGCTGAGGCGGCTCGTGATTTCATCCTCAAGATGTTTGTTGAGTTAAATCCAGACCCCGAGAAGATTATATACTCGCACTTCACCTGTGCAACAGACACCGAAAATATTAGGTTCGTGTTTGCCGCCGTCAAGGACACTATTCTCCAACTGAATTTGAAGGAGTACAACCTTGTCTAGCTGTTTTTTGTTGTCCCTAAAACCTTCATATCCCCTTAACACTCTATCCTTCATGATATCTTGGCCAACTTCTAAATATTGTGGCCATCTATACGTGCGTCAAATGGCGACAGAACTTTCTGCCGAGGTCTTGTTTCATTATCAATCCTGCTCTTTGTCCTTTAATCTATCTCCTAGCCGAGTAATCTTGCTTTCATCTTGATTAGTTAAACTTAGCTGCTTCCTTTGCTTCTTGACTGCAGGCTATGCTATCAGGTCTTGATTACACTCTTGCGCAACTTCATAACCATCTGCTTTTTATGTAGTGCGCTTAAAGTGGCTAAAAGGGCAGCTGCGAGTTTCCTGCAGAAAGTTATCAGTTCATTTTTTCAAGTTAGAGGACTTCATCCTTTTGTTATTCCAATGCCTGTAGGAGCAGCCATCAAAACCTGTTTATTAGTTTCCCGCTTTCTCTTAAATTTTTTATACTCTCGGTGACATCATAAGGATATTAGATGGGATAACTTAACTTTATTTACCTTCTATCTTATAGTCATTATCAGACTGCCGATCTGCATTTTAAGTATCTATTCTCTACGGCTTTCTTGTATGACTAATATCTATTAAAAGTTTTGTTATCCTCCAGATGGGCAAATAAACCCACGGTTACATAAGTCCCTATGATGTTGATAGATGCTATTAATTATTTATCCACTCATGTGCGCATGCCTGTTTGTTTCTGTATCTACACCTGTTTATCTATATCTGTGTATGTGCCTCTGTTCATTTGCATGCACGCTTTCGCATTCTTATTCCCACATTTATTGTTTCTTTTTTATTTAATTCGCTTACTCTATACGTTTTTTTCCTCTCATTTGATTATTATTGTTTGCTTTTGATCAAATGGTGCGCTCGTATCGAAATGTCCACCTCTCGTCTCAAACTTTGTGTCGTTAGATTTGCATACTTTTACTTTTCCTTTCCCTCTACATTTTACACTAAACCATTTTGTACTAAGCTTCATCTGTATCCTTTCTACTTTCCTCTTTTTCGGCCCATATCCTGCAATCAGAATTTCGTTTTCAGTCTGGTGCCTTCTCGAACTTTCATTTCATGATCTCCATTTTCTTAATGATTATCAGGGCTGGAAAGTTGCATTGTTAGTCGATACATAATTAAACGAATGAGGTCTTCCTTTCTTCACTTACTTCGATCCTCTACCCAGATATTTTACTCTATCTATTTCTATTTCTATTTCCGATTTTGTTCCCAATTATACACTGTGCTTTTTAAGTTTGCCTCAGCACCAGTTTGTCGATTAATCCCATTTCTGCTTCTACCCATGTATTTCATTTACATGAATTTGAAATGATTTTGGCTT